AGGGAGCAATCTGAAATCCGATAGTATTTTCATAAAAATGCTTTCCAAAACATAATAATCCACTGTGATATCGATTAAATCCAAAAAGTTGATGCCCAGTGGTGCAATCTCACATCCGACAATATTTTCATAAAAAGCACCCCCTAAAACATAAGTCGACCCTCATATCAATTGAATCTGAAAAGTTACAAAGTCGATGCCCGGGAGCGCTATCTCAAATCCAACAGTATCTTTATAAAAAGTGTCCCCCAAAACATAATAGTCCACCCTGATATCAACTAAATCCAAAAAGTTATTAAAAGACCATGCCCGGGGACTCGAATCTCCAATCCGAAAGTATTTTCATAAAAAGTGTCCCCCAAAACATAACAGTCAACCTTGATTTGAAAAGTTACAAAACGTCGATGCTGGAGGGCGCTGTGTCTAAATGGTGGACACCATTTTCAAAAACAGTGGCCCCTAAAACATATAAACAAATACCTTGGCTCTTAAAATTACTAAACAAATTATTCTAATCGTATTTTTTATCTTAAATAACGAATAATAGATAATGCATATTATCTGCAAATAATTAATAATTATCTGTCCAAAGGTCGTCGAATAAGAATAATGAATAAAAATTTATCTAACATTCCTTATCTCGATGAAATTTCAAATAATTTATTCAAATAACGCCCAACACTGTTTGTACCAATACTGGTACATTATATCATTGATATATTGCATTATTTCTCCTATGTATACTCCTTGATGATTTAAACATGGAACCTTATACACCAATCCTTCTTGATAATTTTATCCTTTAAATTACTTAATTTAAGGTATAATTTCTCACATCGTAATCATTAAAGGACCTCTTTGTATCTTCTGATAGTCTTTTAATGCAATTACAACCAAGATTAATACTAAAAAAGTGAAGTCCTGACCAACAAGTTTAAATATATATTTTTAACAAATTTCATTTCAAAATCTATAAACCTAAAAACAAGAAATTTTTATTACAATTACAATTTTAAAAAATCTAAAATGTTTTTTTTGAGATTTTTTAAATTCAAAATTTTGAAAACAAGAAATAAAAATTTCTTGTTACAGGATTGTCATTTTAGATATCAAATTTAATTCTGTACAATAATTTTTTGACTGACCGATCAAACATCTTACACAATTTTTAAAAATCTATATTTAAATATATAGCTAAAATAATCTGGTGCGCCCATTAGACAACGTTCACTTGCCGCTCTTTTTTTTCAGCAGAAGTAATTATTTTCAGGCAAAGGGAACATGTATATAAATATAATATATATGTATTTATATGTGTGTGTGTGTATGAATATTATTTATATATTTGATTACCATATATTACACACTTTTATAAAGGGTATCTCAATGGTAGGGCACTAAGCTTCCAATGTTCGAGGTCTCAGGTTTGAATCCCGGCTAATGACAGAAAAATTATTTATTCTATTTCATTGGCCCTGGGGTGACCTTGGGGCAGGGACACCCTCCTGGGGCACACCCAACTCCTGCAAAGTTGGTACTCCTAATTTTAAATAATTGATTTAGGGTGTAAATCTGGCAGTTGAACGTAATCCTGACCCTCCCCTTGCACAAACGCTGGCCTTGAAACAGCACTTCCCTAAATAGTACTGAATGCAAGACCCTTTTTGGATTGTAGTGATACATGTTTTTTTTACTCCTTTACAAACAAATTACAGTTGTTCACATTTATTGACAAATAATTAAAATTGATGTAGAGATTAGAGATGGGCAGTACTCGATTACTTTCATGATTTGAGTAATTTTATTAGGAAAAAGTATCGAGTAGTTTCTGTACTCGGCCTGACATCGGCCAGTACTGAGAGTACTCAGGAAGCGTCAATCATGATTTAGTTAAGTACAGAAAATACTCGCGGTGTCATATCGAATTACAGAAAGTACTCAGCCAAATTCCTACAATGAGTACTTTTTATTTGTCAACTACTCCGTCATTATTATAAAGAGTATAAATGTTTTCTTTTATTTCCTTCAATAATAGCGGCCATATTCGATTTGACCAATTCTAACCTCCCATTAATCGATATTAGACTAACCATCATGTTTTGGAGGCTCTTTTTATAAAAATATAAAAGGGGCCCCCCGCTGGAGGAAAGTACACTATTTGGTACGGAGGAAGCGGGAATTATTGTTTAGGTACCGGGTTTCTAATTAGGAATAGATTGCTATCCGCTTTGAGGGATGTACAATTCTTTAGTGATAGAATTTCGGTAGCTGTATTTCAGGGACGTTGGTTTAAAATCGCATTAATAAATATACATTGTCCGACCGAAGACAGTGACGATGAAGTCAAATGTGAATTTTACGATAAACTCGAATGGGTTTATGATAAACTACCGCGAAACTCCATGAAAATAATTGTAGGTGACGCGAATGCAAAGGTGGGAAGGGAAGAAGTTTATGTTCCGACTATTGGTAAAGAAAGTTTGCACGAATATAGTAATGATAATGGAATCTGTCTGATAAACTTTGCCATCTCGAAAAACTTGATAATTAAAAGTACTACGTTTAAACATAAGGATATTTACAAATATACTTGGACATCACCGGATTCGCAAACACGAAATCAAATCGATCATGTCTTGATACAACACAGCTGGCAAAGCAGTATAATTAATGTACGGTCTTATCGCGGAGCAGAATGTGGGTCGGATCATGAATTAGTAATCGTGAAACTTCGACAAAAACTTAATATAAAAAAAAGAAAAGAAAACCGTTTCGATTTTGAGAATTTTAATTTAGGAAAACTAAAAAATCCATCAATAAGAACCCAATTCGAGCTAGATGTCAAGAATAAGTTTGAAGCTTTAGAGCTTTTCTGACGAGGACCGCGAGGATGTTGACAAGTTATGGATAGATATCAGAGATAATATTAAAGCGGTCGGTACCTCGTGTCTAGGAAAAAAGGAAAATAAGATTAACAAACAGTGGTTTGATGAAGATTGCTTAAACATGTGCAAGAAAAGAAAAGCCGCTAAATTAAAAGCTATAAATAATCCTAACCAAGACAATCTGGAATACTTCCGAACATCAAAGAATGAAATGACAAAATTGCTCAAAAATAAAAACGGGAATATCTTAAACATAAAATAATTGAAATAGAATCGAAAATAACGTAAGAGACATGTACAAAGGTATAAACAGATCCCGTAAATATTTAGAACCCGTAACGCCTGGAATTAGGGATGAAAATAACAATATTCTGACCGATCCGGTTGACATATTAAATAAGTTTAAGAACTACTTTGACAATATTTTAAGTACGGGAAATTATGATCTGTGTCCTCCTTCTGAGTACCAGAGTGCTGAACCGTTGATAGAAGAACTGAGTAAAGAGAAAGTTAAAGTAGCTATCGGAAAATTAAAATCTTATAAAGCAGCGGGAACCGATAATATTCCTACTGAACGAATTAAGGCATGCGGGGAAGTTGGAGTGTCCAAAATACATGTGTTGGTTAAAAAGATTTGGAAGAATGCGAAATTACCTTATTCCGATTCACAAAAAGGGCCCGAGGACGGATTGTAATAACTATCGAGGAATTTCACTCCTTCCGGTATGTTATAAAATATTCACTTCAATCTTAACTAGCAGAATCACAGAATACGCCGAGGAAATTATAGGAGGCTACCAATGCGGATTTCGACGGAATCGTTCGACTATTGATCAAATATTTTCTTTATGGCAAATATTAGAGAAAAAAATAGAGTACAATGGTATTGTTCACCAGCTGTATAACAATTTCAAAAAGGCTTACGATTCTATTGACTGCCAGAAACTGTATAATATTCTAATCGAGCAGGGGATTCCCAAAAAACTAGTAAATCTAGTCAGGATGTGCTTGACGGAAACACTCAATAAAGTTAGAATCGGTAATAATCTATCCGAAAAGTTTGAGGTTCGTTCGGGTTTGAAACAGGGGGATTTCCTTTCGCCTTTCCTGTTCAATTTGGCATTAGAACATGCCATTAGGGAGGCAATGCGTACCGAAAAAGGGTTGGATCTGGGTGGGACAACACCTGTGCTGGGCTATGCGGATGATCTGGTACTGTTAAGCGAAGACGTGGAAACTATAAAACTATAAAACTAAATACGACAACGTTTATGAATGCCAGTAAAGAACTAGGGCTCGAAATAAACACGGATAAGACACAATATATGGTTAGCTGCAAAAATGGTGATATCGATATAGATGGTAATATGTTTGAACAGATAGAGAAGTTTAGGTATCTAGGGTCTATGATAACTAGAAAAAACGAAATTGAAGAAGAGATTAAGGTTAGGCTGAAGGCGGGAAATGCTTGTTATTTTTCTGTGACAAAATTATTTAGCTTGCGCCTCTTGTCCCAGAACTTAAAAATTAGAATCTATAAAACCATTGTCTTACCTACAGTTCTTTATGGTTGCGAAACATGGCCGCTTACATTAAGGGATGAGCAACGACTTAAGGTTTTTGAAAATAAAGTATTGCGTAGAATATTCGGACCGAAGAAGGATGAATTAACCGGAGAATTCAGACGGTTACACAACGCCGAATTGCGTGAACTATATCTGAGTAATATAATTGAGGTGATTTCATCCCGGCGTATCAAATGGGCCTATAAAATTATTGGGCTTAGTATCGAGAGATTTCCTAAAAGGTTAATATTTGCTGTACCGAATGGTAAACGTCCGAGGGGTAGACCGAAGGAAGGTGGGAAGATTGCATTAAAGCCGATCTGAAGGGACTAGGTTTGGAAGGTGAACGGTGGAGGGATGTGTGTCATGAGCGATTGGTGGTGTCGGCATCAAACCTTTGGGTTCGCTAAGCCTTGTATTATTATTATTATTATTATTTCATAGCCTTCTAAAGTATTATATTTATGTTGTTTTTTTTTTTGCTTTAAATAACAATCAAAAACAGGATATTTGGTTGAAGAGTTATTTATTAGTTTGAAATATTTTTTAGGTAACTGGTAAAGTAGGCATCGCTGATCCTTTAAATGCTTGTGAAAAATTAAAAAACCCTGAAGCTATTAAAGGAAAAATTGCCATTGTCCAACGAGGAAATTGTATGTTTATAGATAAGGTAATAATTCATATCCATCATTCTCTCTTTATCTTCACTAACCTATATTACTTCATTAGTGTTGTTATTTCTTGAGGTGGACTGTAATTAGTTTCAGAAATAAAATAAACTTGATTGTAGGAAAATAAATGACATAAATGTTATAAGAATATCAGGAGTAACATGCTAGTTACTTTTGACTGTCTTACAATGATAACAAAGGGAAATAAATGCAAATTTTAAGTATGTATTGCAATATGCCTAATTTAAATGATAAAGTATAAGTAAAAAAACAGTTTAATATTAGAATGAAGCTTCCAAAACAAGAGAAATTGGTTGAAAAGAAAAAAGAGTAATTTCAAATGAATTGAATTTACAATTATTTCTCTTTTTTTTAAGGTAATGCATTGCTAGGCAATCAAACCGCATTCTTAAAAATTAACCTTAAAACAACTTATAATTATTGATTCAGAAATTAATAAATATCAACAAGTTAATCATTCAAAATTTAGATTAGGTGATACTTCCCTTGTGGCAACTTGAAGATTCTTTTTTTTGGTTTGTACAGCATGTAGTTGGAAATATTAAGTAGTTTGTGTGAATATTAAGAGCGACCATTGTCAAATTCCACCTACTGACACTGAAAAGGGGATCTGATTTGAAGTTTTTGACCTTGGATTCTGAAATTACTTTTGTTATCTATCTATCTATATATCAGATGCCGCTACAACCCTATGATGGGCCCTGGCCTCCTCTATGAACCTCCTCCATTTTCGGCTCGGTTTTGGACTCCGAGCAGCTCTCATGTGTCTGGTACCACACCATCCACTGGAGTTTGGCCCGTCCAACTCTTCTTGAACAATGAATTTTCTTTTCCATCACTCTTTTAGGAATTTCGTCGGGACTCATAGGTTTAACATGCCCTGCCCATCCAAGGCCTCCCAGCCCAGTAAATGTATCTCCTGGAGCAGTTCATAGAGTTCCTTCTTCCATGCACTCCAATACGGGGTCGGGGACTGCAAATACGAGATCGAGATAGACATCAGCAAACAATACAAACCAAAAAATGGTATAAATTGTTATACAGAGGTGTAGTAGACATCCCCCTGTATTTACTCCTTTAGACGACATTGTGTGAGGGAATGAGAAGGAATATATAATATATAGGAATGTGAGGTTGCACTGTGAATTGTACTCAATTGTGCAGTGGACGAAGTGTTCTTTGAAAAGTCTCATATCGATAAATAATCGATAAAGAAGGAAGAAGGTTGGAGGTACCGAAAGGACCCAGCAGGTAGCAAAAGCTGGAGAGAAGAGAAAGCATTCTAGGCGGGACAGGTAGAAAGGAGGTTGTTAGAAGAGAGGAGGAAGACGGACTTGAGGCCTGGACACCAACAAGAGAAGACGTCATTTGGGAAGAGAGCTTTACTCCATTGAAGACTAAGAATATCAAGCCTACAGTTATTAGACTTTAATATATTCACTTAAATCAGTTGTCAAAATAAATTGTTTTATTATACCGGAGTGAATAGTCATTTGATTTAGTTGTCCTATAGGCCTCACAACTGAAGAATAAACCAGGTGAGTCAATTCATTCAAAGTGTTTACTAAGTCCCACATTTCATTTATGTATTTTTATTGTTTCTTCTCACACAGTGTCATAAAAGGTATTAGATTCCCGAATTCCCAATCACAGTTAAACACCCTCAAAAAGGTCTATATCCAGTGGCGGGTTTTTTTAAAAATAATTCACGAGTGTAAATAACCTGAAGCCCCGATATAAAAGCGGAAGAAAGGAGTTCTTAAGGTTAAGCATTAGGGGATGAATATTCCCGCCAAAACTAATTATTTACAATTAACTTTCCGTAGGTTATTTACAGAGGGCTCTTTAACAGCTTTTGTCTCAGGAACAGGCATCTATCGTAATGATAACAAAGATAATGACTCAATACCTTTTGGCAAATACGCTTCAGTATTTCAATCCAAGATACTAGCGATTTGCCATTGCGCTCAAAACCTACTGCGAAGCAAAGTGACTGGGAAAAATATTATAATCTATACTGACAGTCAGGCAGTGATAGGTGCTCTAAATAATTATTATGTATACTCAAAGGTTGTTTAGAATGCAGTTTAGCACTTAATAATCTGATTGAGCTTTAAAGAGTTGCAATAGAGTGAGTGCCTTGTCACTCAGGCATTCTAGGGAACGAAAAAGCAGACAAACTAGCCAGGTTAGGCTCAGATACTATTCCCATAACTCCTGAACCTCTCTGTGGAATCAGTCTTAGTACTGCCAAAAGTAGGATTAGGGAGATTTATGGTAACAAATTTAAACAACACTGGACTCAGAAGAAACAACAAGCTGTTCCTTAAGGTTTAGATTGGAGCTATTTGAGGAAGAACGGATGGATTGCCCCAGTAGCTATGAGACTGTCAATCTAACAAGCCTATTAAGATACGTGGAAGTGACAAAAATAACATTTTAAGAATAAAATGAACTGCATAATGGTGCACAATAGATCCATAGTCGCAGTGCTTAAAGCCAATTAATAAATGAAATAAAAAAACGAAAATCCAGTTTATTATAATATATATATATATATATATATATATATATATTTGGCTTATTTTGTCTTATGAATAATTTTAGTTTTTGCACTTATAGGCTTAAATCAGAGTTAAATTGGGAAAATTGATAAAATATTTGTACTACAAATAGGGATATGTTAGAATCTCAGCTTACTGAAAAACTGGCTTCACGTACAAAGCCTTAAAAAAAACTTGCAGTTTATGCACACGGATTATAACAATTTTTTTCATCAACTTTAGTAAACTGCAATAGATCAAACATTGTCTACTGGTATGCTGGTTAAAGGAAGTAAGTTTCCAAAGACAGAGGGCTTTCTGATAGCATTCCAGTATCAGGCCACAGCATCAAAGGCAGACTGGCCTATGTTGATCTGACCACATTCATGAATCAACAGATGGTATCAGACATGTGGAGGCTATGAATCAGTGCATTTGAGTCTCATCAGCACATAACTGGAAAATGCGGCTGGCTGAAACGGAATACCTCAAGAGATATGACAATGTTGCAGACATCAGAAGATTGATCAGAAAAGAAAGTTACTGAATGAATGAATTCTTTATTTGACTTTGTCCAGTAGGAATGAATAAAATTCTATGGGAATCAGTCATTTATAACAGACCTTACTGTGATCTGTAACAGACTTGATATCTTGTTGATGGATAGTAATATTAACACAGCTGAAATAATAGATCTTGCCTATGCCATATGATGGGAACACTAATTCTTGCTCCACAGCAAAAATTTGAAAGCATCAAATTCTAGCAGCTGAGTCAAAAGATTTATACAGACTGTGTGAAGTAGGTGTAATTGCTTTAGTTATCTGCAGCGGTGGTCTGATACTTGTATCCACTATAAAAGCTACTGACAAGTTGGGTCTCTCAGCAATCGTTTAAAAAGCTGTGCTGCTGAACAATGCAAGGATTGTAAGGTGCTTCCTTGATATACTTTTGATTTATAAACAAAACAAACTGAATGAAGTTGTTGGTGTCGATTCTTCTCCATTCCAGGAAATAGCTTATTTTGAAAAAAATAATAATATAATAATTATACGGTATAATTAGTCTATATCTTACCTTTAATGCACCTTCTAGAAATATTATTAGAAGTTGATTGGTTTAATAGGAGTGATTATGATAGGAATATATGTGTTTGCAAGGGAGTCTATTGCCAGTAGTATCTGAGATTTTGGAAAAAAAAAACTTAGGAAAGATTATGTATAAGATTATGAGCTTCTTAGGTGATAAATAGTCAGGACAGTCATTTTAAGATTTTTATTGTTGCCGACGTTTATCATTAGGACACAAAAAAAATTGTATAACATTAAAGATATAATATTTAAAACAGGTTATAGTTAGTAATGATAAATAGTGATGGATGATACTCTCATATCTCATGTATCATCCATCACTATTTATCTTTATTAACTATTATCTGTTTTTATATATTATATATCTGATGTTATAAAAACTCTTTTTCAGCCCTGATGATCCACGTCACTTGCTTGTGTTGAAATGTCGCTAACAATAAAAATCTAAAAATGACTGCATTCTGAATGTTTATCATCTATGATATGTAAAACTGTCTACTAACTTCCTTCAATAATTATGAGCTTCTATTATAACAATATAATAATTTTTATTTAAGCTTATTAGGATTTAGGAGGGCAGTTCAATAATTATTATTGACCATGATTAATATTAAATTATCTCTGTTTTAAAAAACACACTTCACAATGTTTAAATGTTCCATTTGTTGTGATTAATTAAATAATTTTTATATTCAAATTGTCTTTATTTTAGGCTAGAAGAATGATGGAAGCAAAAGCAATTGGTGGTATAGTGGTCGATAACTCTGGTGATGTTAGCAAAACATCCCCTCTTTTTGCAATGTCTGGAGATGGAAACGATGATGTGAACATTCCCGTTGTATTTTTATTTGTCAATGATGCTGCTAAACTCTTATCTGCTTTGACAAAGGATCTTAAAATGAAAGTCACTCTTGGTTACCGTAATACTTTGTCAGGTAAATTATTGCTGCTTGCTGTGATATAGTATTATTTCCTGTTTTATTGAGATTTATTTTGTAATAATATAAATTAGTAACTAATTAACCAAGAGACAGAACATAAATGTCAGGTTATAACTGTAAAAAGATCGCATATCAGTAGACAATCTTCATTGGTTAGATATTGCCTCAGTCCAAGGTTATAGATCAGGATTAATCTTGCGCAGAGGCAATATCTAACCAATGAAGATCTACTGAGGTGCGATTATGACGGAGATTTTTTGTCTGCATTTTGAAGACATTAGATTGTGTGGTTTGCAATTTTTCCAATTATAATCTAACATTTTTTTTGTAATATTAGGGGGACCGGAAAGTAATGTCGTTTCTGTGTATGTCACAGTTTGATTGTCATTTGTGAGCTCACATTGTGTACATTGTGCATGTGTACAGTCGTGGCGAAGACATTCTAAGGATACAGTGACTTCTTTAGTTGTAAATCATTGAATTAAAATTTGTTTTGCAATTTTGAGTGGAATGGCTAGCCAAATACCAGAAGAGGTACATATCCGGCGTTGCATGCTTTTTGAGTTTCGCAAGGATAGTAATGCATCAGTTGCTATAAAAACATTTGTGATGTTTATCCAAATGCATTAGACGTTCGTAGATGCCAAAGCTGGTTTTCCAAGTTCAGATTCTGTAATTTTGATCTTTCCGACTCATCAGGAAAAATATCAACGATAGACAGTGACGTGTTAAGGGCGGGATTGGAAGCAAATCCGTGTCAGCCTTAGTAATGAACCTTGGTTGAAAGAACATTTACAGTAGATTAGAAAAACCGCATACAACTTATTGCTTCAATCATACAATACAGAAGCATTTTTTGATCGCTATGATCACCAGAGTTGAAAAATGGGTCTTCTATGACAATCCAAAACGCAAAGACAGTGGCACTCTCCAAAGTACTGCAAAGCCAGGTTTACACCCCAAAAAACCTTTTGTGAGTTTGATGGAGTATTCGAGGTATTGTTCATTTTGAAGTATTAAAACCTGTACAAACTGTGGACAATTGAATCTTGTAAATCAATCGTTTGTTGAAAAGTGACCAGCGATTGTCAACAGAAAAGGTGTTATTCTGCAACAAGATGATGCAAGAATGCATTGCACAATACGAATCTTGGATAAAATTAATGAATTGGGTTGTGAGTGACTGCATCACCTACGATAATTGGTCTATGTTGCGTCCATCGGATTTCCATTCATTCGAATTGCGTTATCAGTTTCTAAGTGGCAACATTTGGAAAGTATCATTTTCTAAGTTGCCAGTTCTAAGTATCATTTTCTTCAAGTTTCTAAGTGGCATTTGGATGGTATCCAAAATGCCATCTCTATATATTTTGCTCAAATTGATTTTTATCGATCCGTCATTGAAAATTTGCACTCGTGATGGCAAAATGCTGTGGATAATGATGGTGATTACATCATTGATTAAAAATAAAAACTTGTTAAAAATGTATGTGTTTGAATTTAATGTAAGAAAATTACATTACTTTGCGGTTCTCCTAATACCTAGTTGCCATCCATCTTTTATGCTAATATGCATATTATAACAGGAATCAAGATCAAATAAATTTTTTAATTGCTTATTTGCAGGGTATTGAATCTTTCCGGAATGAAATAATCTGATTTAGATCCTTCCAATATTTTAATCTTCTATGTATATAAAAATGAATGTATGTCTGTCTTTTTGTCCTTTATGAATTACTAAACCATTCATCCGATTGTCATGAAGCTTTAGGAAGTTGTTCCGTACATTTCTGGAAAGGTTTCTAACATAGTACTTCTGTCTTAAGATAATTTTATACATGTAAAAAAAATGTAAATGTTTTTTGTTCAAAGCTGCAAAAAAATGTGTTGCTACAAACTATAGCGCCAAAATGGCTTTAACAATTTTAACAAAACTTGGCTAAAGTCTTCTCCTTGAAACCCTTTTAATTTATGTGTAGAACATACTTTCTCGAAACCAAGCTGAAAAAATGATACGATGAATTCAATATTTTATTTGCCGATAACTAAAAAAGTACACAATTTTGATTGATAATACCCATATTTATTTGAAAGAAAGAGAAGTGATGTGATTCTCCTTATGTAGGTCAATACTATTATACGCTCTTTATATTCATTTTTTATTTTCCTCCCAATGTATTCTGGAAGTAGTATGATTCATTTCGAATATTTGATATGCTATTATTTAAAAAGATTTAACTCTTGAGTAATACTTATCACCGTTTATGTTCCTTTTAGAAATCAGTTTTTTATTGATTTCAGTTTATTTTATTTTTTAATAAATTCTTTTCTCTAACATTGTGTTGGAATAAGGTTGTGCCGTTTACCGTAGGATTTCTTTCATGAGCATGGTTTATTTTTCCTGTATATTTAATCAGGTTGTTATTAAGAAGAAGCAAGCAATCAATCAACTATCTTAGGAGGGGTATGCAAAATCTTTTGAGGAAGATGGAAGGCAGCTCTAATGCACACGAAAGGAACACTATGATAAATGGTATAGGGCAATTCCAATGCATTGCCACAATTGATATTTGAAAATCTTTAACACTGAAACAGTATTATAAAATATTTTGAACCGCATGCGTTGCTTTTACATCCAACTGATGGTGCATTTTTAATAAATATGTATAGTTCCACCTTATATTTTATAATAGTAGATATATTAAACCACGCCTGTATTTAAATGCAACGTTAAGCCAAAATTTCAAGGCAATGGGTGAAGAACTATCTGAAATTTAAGAGTTTAAACAACCAAACATTTACATTTTTATTTGCCATAAAATTATCAACACAAAGTTGAATATTAAACAATAAATTAAATATATAAAAAAATAATAATAAAATTAAATATGAAAATATATGAGTGGCTTGATATGAAAGGATGAATTTCTGTCATTTTTAGAAAGCTGAGATAAAGTCAATTTTAGTTTTATAAGTTCAACTCAGACTGTTTCTGATTAATAAGAATGACGGCGTATTCACTCAGATGATTACGAATGTTCAATTTGAATCATTAAAAAAAAATCATAGAATTAGTTTTAATTGAAGCCATTTTACAGACAAATTTGTTTCCCAACTTTTTAAAAATGACAGATGTCCTTTGGTATTAATCCACTCATCTGTACTTTCTATTTTCTTTCTTTTGCATTTTGCCAGGTTAAGCCACAGCAGGGCGTGGCCGGGTAAAGCTAGTCAATTTATAATATTATTCATTTATGCTTAACAATGTTATGTAACTTATAATTATTATTAGTTTCATTTACTAATTATAATTTTATATCAAGCATAAAAAAATTAAAAGTAATTTAACAAAATTATACAAAAATACTTTTTATTTTTAGAAGAAGAAAGCCTAAAGAAACAAGAAGATATCGATAATACCAGTGAAAACAAAGCTTCCGTCCACAACTTTTCTTCTGATCGCCTATTAAATGGCGAGGTAATTTATAATTGTATTGTTATGATAATTTCAATTACTATAATTTTTTTTTAGCATCTAGTTTGTAGGCCAGTATCTTGTAATCAAAAATTTAATTATGAGTTTTTTTCAATAACTAGTTCCCTAGTGCTACAGGCCATCATGACCCTTGGCCTCCTGAGTTATTCTTCTGCACGTCTGTCTGTCCTGTGCTTCTCTCTTCAGATTGGGAACTCCCAACTTCCTCGCATCTCTCTCCACTTCACCCTTCCACCTGCTTCTCAGCTTTCCTCTTTTTCTCTTCCCACTCTAGTACACTTCCAGTATTTTCTTCTGCACCCATTCATTCTCCATTTTGACCACATGTTGTGTCCATCTTAGCCCACTTTTTACTTTTCTATCTATACTAGGTAAGGAAAGTATTGCGATCGGGTCAAATTTCTGATATGTGGTTATTGACGGATCTATACGTTTCACAGCCCCCTTAGTCCGAAAAACACATTTTTAGTCATTGGTCTGTCTGTGCCAAGATTTTCTTGGGAACTACTGAACCTATTTTGTTGCTTCTTTTTTTATTTTGTAGGGTTTTGACTACTGATGCGTGTGATGTAAATTCGGTGCTCCATGCGCAATAGCTTGCGCGCAATAAATGAAAAACATGTTTTTCTATAGACTGTAGCGCGGAAACGGCTCTTAACGATTTTGATGAAACTTTCCTATAATATTCTAATAATTGTCCTTTCAATTTTCGTATATATACTAAATTCTTGAGAAAATTCAGGAAAAAAAGTTATAAAGAAAAGGAAAATGTTATGGGGCCTAACTCACTAAGTATATATTATACGGTAAAATTTATAATAAAACTTTTGAAAGGTAATGACAAAACAAAGATATGCGGTTTTCAACGGAGCTCTACGTTTCAGAGCCCTCTGAGTCCGAAAAACACACTGTTTAGCCTGTCTTTTTGAAAGGTAATGAAATTCCCTACGAAACTATATACAAATCTTTCATTTTCGACAACAATTTACGAAGTTACAGCTATTCAATTTCAAATGTAAGATTACAGGTTCATATCCTGGTGTCAGAAAGGGGTGAATGAGAGAAAAAAGATGACTAAGTGAAAGTAAGAAAATCTATTACTCGCATCACACAAGCTTCACAATTTCCTCTACTTTTAACAGAAATTATTGTTTGACAAAATTAAGCTATGGCAAAAAGTTTTTGATCAGCAATATTAGAGAGTATTGAAATTTTTACACTAATCTACTTTAAGCCGGTTTACATTTCTTTAGTTTATCAAATAAATTGTACTCAAATCTTTTCTTTGATCAATTTTCAGGAAAATAAATTAATTCAATTTTTTTTGTTTCTTCATCAACATGTGTAAAGATATAAAAACTTTTCTGAAATAGGTAGGAAAGTCGTGTGAGTAGACACACCAGATTTTCTTGATATAGTAAATAATGTTTTAATATTCTAATATAGTATTGATTTCAACATTACTTTTAATTTTCCACTCACCATTAACTCTATTAGCATCGTAAATCCTTCTTACTGTTTTCTTTTCAAATACTTTTAGTTTACGGCAATCCTCTTGTGACAAACACCAGGTTTCCGCTGCATAGGTGACTACTGTTCTAATACGCATTTTATACAGCTTTAATTTTGCAGTTTTTGACAACAGTGGAGAAGGTTTACGTAATAAGCTCTATCACCATTATTTTGTTGTTGATTTCTTTGCTGATTAAGTTTTTATTATTTAGGGCAGAACCGAAATAGACACATTTTGAAACCTCAAATTCCTTATTTTTATTTCACTGTAGGATCTTCTATTTGCTGCCGAGAATAGTTTTAGGTATTTAGTTTTATTTTCATTGACCACAAAGTCCTACTTTCTTGCCATTTTCATATTTTATCTCAAATGCTTCTTTAAGAGCCTTTTCACTTCTGGCAGAAATCACCAGGTCATCACCCTAGGCACAAATTTGCTATGACTTATCAACAATAATGCCTTTTTCACAGCAGCATGCAGAGTTATGTTGGATAGCGTTGCTGATAAGGCATCTCCTTGACACATTCCAGATCATATCTTGAAAAATTGACCTTTATTTCCAATAACAACTTTGGATGATGCATTTTCCATGGCCATATGTATTAAATTAATTAATTTATGGGGCACTCCATTTTTCATTAGCATTTTTTCATCATTTGTTTTATAACAAAAATTTGATCTGTATTACCTCTGCCAGTTCTAAAACCATATTTTAGATTATTACCAATGTGGTTTTAGAACTGGCAGAGGTACTAAAGATCGAATTTTTGACTTGATAAGACAAATGATGAAAAAATGCTATGAATATGATAGCCTTCGCAGCCTTTCTAATATTAATGGAGCGGGGTAGCTCAGTGGGTGAGCACTGACTTCCAGAGCTCAAGGTCCCAAGTTTGAAAATCCGGCTGATGACTAGTAATTTTTCATCAGCCATGGGTATACCCTGGGGCCGAGAGACCCACTTGGGGCAAACTCAGGGGCCGAGAGACCCTCTTCGGGCAAACCAAGCCTCTATAAAGTGGGTACTCTTGATTAAATAATTAAAACCTGGCAGTTGAGCATGATATTGGCCAGTCACCTCCCTGCACAAAGTTGACCTTGTAACAGTACTTCCTCACATTGTACAGAACCCATAACCCATAGATGGGCATGATCATAATCAATGTTAATGATTACGATTAGGATTATAATAAAAAATAACACAATTATCTGATCACACGATTATAATCATAATCATGGTTTTTAATTTTGATTATAATCGTGTAATCATGTAACTGTAATTATAATCAAAATCACTGTAATCATAATCATGTAGTCATAATCGCGTAATCGTAATAAAAAAATCAAATACACCCGATTTTCCTCTGTTTTGGAATAGACTAAAAGGAAAATAAGTATAAAACATCTTCTATTTTCTTTTAGCTGTCGAGAGTACTTTATATGATAATACCGTCAGTTAGCATTTAACATTTTCCGAATTTTCATTAGTTTTTCTCTTTTATTTCATGAACGAATGCTCAGTTTTTCACCGCTCCAACGGTTTTCCGACTATGTAGATGTGGACAACAATGGAGAATTGTAGAAAATACAAACAATGTAGAAAATTTTCTTAATTTTCATTCTCTTTTCTTCTTTTATCAAGGGAATGGATGCTTGATTTTTCACCATTCCAAGAATGTTGTAACTAATCCAATAGAAACAGGATAGCTTTAAATTTTCCGAATTTTCATTCGCTTTTCCTCTTTTACCTCGTGACGTACTAGATGTAGGCGAAAATGGATAATTAGTGTTGAAAATTTTCTGAATTTTTGCAGTTTTCGTTTGATCTACATAGTCGGAAAACTGTTGGAACAGTGAAAAACTAATCCTTCATTCCCGAGATAAAAATCGAAAAGTCCATGAAAATTTGTTCCACTCTTGTTTCCATTGGCCTTCCTCTAAACAATTATAGAATGGTTGGAATAATGAAAGACCGAGTCTCCATTTATGATATATAAGAGGAAAAGTGTATGAAAACTCAGAAATTTTTTTACACCATTTCCCCATTTTTGTCTACCTTAACATTTTCGAAATTTGTTGAAACGCTAAAAAACCGATCCTTCATTCTCAAGATAAAATAGGAAAAGCGAAAGAAAATTTTCTGCAGCATTTATCTGTTTTCGTCTACCTCTACATAGCCAGAAAACTGTTGGAACGTTGAAAACCTGATCGTTCATTTCCGAGATAAAAGATAAAAAGCATTGAAAATTTGGGAAAATTTTCCACTCCCTTTTCCATAGGCCTGCCTCTAAACAGCTATAAAATAGTTGGAACGGTGGAAAACCTGGCATTCATTCACGAAATAAAAAAAGAAAAGCATATGAAAATTCTGAAAATTTTCTACACCATTTTCTTTATTTACATACCCAGAAAACTGTTGGAACGGTAAAAAACTGATCCTTCATTCCTAAGATAAAAGAGTTTTCCTCGTTCTTTCTTCTTCTTTCTTTTTGAGAAGGAAAATTAGGAAAATGTTAGGTCTTTTTGAAAGTGCTCACAACAGCTAAAAGAAAATAGAAAATGTTTTATACTTGTTTTCCTTTAAGCCTATCTTTAAACAGAGGAAAATCGTGTGTATTTCATTTTTTGATTACGATTACACGATGTTAATTAAGTGATTACATGATTGTAATGAGGTAATCGTTTCATACTTTTGCTATATTTATGGTGTTATTGTATCAACTATAAATTGGCGTGGTCATTAGGTTTTATTTTCATTTGTAATCATGTAATGATTGATTAAGATTTTGCCCATCTCTGCCATAACCCTTCATGGGTTGCTAGTGGTGCAGGTTTTTTATTTTTTATTTTAAACTAGAAAGGAGTTTATACAGATCTCCCAAAAGTGTCATTTCTCTATAATTTGCACACTGATCCTTGCTGTCTTTTTTAAGAATAGGTTTATATTAATCCAATCATCCGGCATCTTTTTCTCTGCCTATTTGTCACAGATCAACTCATGTATTAGGGCATTCATTTTACCACTGCAGCCTTTAATCAATTCTGCAACTATCCTGCCCTCACCGGGGGCTTTAAAGCTCTTCAATTTCATGATGTCAAACTCGATATCCAATCTGTCAGGCTCATCAACTAGCGGTTTCTTCTTCATTCAGACTTCATTCAACTGCAGACTCTTCTTCATTCTTAACAGCTTCCTTCTCCAGACCAATGTTCAGCAACTCCGAGAAGTGTACAGTCCACCTGTTCATCACCTCTCTTTCTCCATCCAAAGCCTCTCCTGTTTTACTTTTGCAACAGCTGATATTCTTTCCAGAATTAACTGGTTCCCTTATAAAATTTCCTGCTTTCATGCACACTGTTCAACATTTCTATATTTTCAAACCTTTAATTAATCATTTTTCTCTTTTCCTTTCTACATACTTTCTTAATTTCTCTTCTTTTTACACTGAGACCTACAGTCTTAAAGATTTTCTTAGGTATTCCCAATCACATTATGGCATTACAAAACAAGTACGCATCTGCGTTTATTATTTAAATATCTATTTAAGGGTGAAGATAGAAAACAGTCTCCTCGTTTTGCCTCCTGGTAACAGTATTATGTACTGGCTAAATGATATGGTAGGGCACTAAGCTTCCGGTGCTCGAGGTCCCAGATTCGAATCCCGGCTCATGGCAGAAAAGTTATTTATTCTGTTTCATTGGCCGTGAGGCGACCCTGGGGTAATGAGATCCTCCTGGGGCACACCCAGCCCACTATAAATTGAGTATCCTTAATTAAATAATTGATTAATGGGAAAAACCTGGTGGTTGAGCGTGATCCTGGTCCGATCCCCTCCCTGCACAACCGTAAGCCTTGAAACAGTACTTTCCCTAACTAGTACTGAACCCAAGACCCTTCATGGGTTGTTAGTGGAACAGGAAAAAAAAAAATGGTATGGTAATGTGAATGGATCATAGCATCGTCTCAGGAAGTAGGAGTTTCAACATCCGTTTTAAAACTCTGAAGCCACAGAAGTTATGTGTAGCTGCCTGAAGGAGGCAGTTCCTTCACTGCAATTGGGGAGTGTGAGACAATCCCTCAAACCTCTGAATCTTAATGATTCTTTTATTAATTTTATATAATATATTATGTTTTTTATGTTATAATATGTTTCTTTTAACATATTCAGAAATATAGACTAAAATACATTACCTAAAAGATTTTTGTCTTATACATGCAATAAAATTAAACAGAAAATAGAATTCATTATTAAAAGAAAAAAAACACCAGTCTCATTTTGTCTAATGAATAATTTTAGTTTTTGCACTGATCTATTCTCAAGGTTCAAATTCGGCTGAGACAGAAAATTATTTATTCTGTTCCATCAATCATGGATAGACCCTAGGGTCAGGAGACTCTCCTGGGGCACATCCTGCCTTTATAAAGTGGGTATTGTTTGGTAATTAATGAATTGATTAAGGAGAAAATTCCTGGAGCTTGAGCTTAATCCTGGCTCAATCACCTCACTTCCTTTCACCACCCTTCATAGGTTGTAGTGGTATAGGTTAAGTTTTTTTAATCTAGCAGTTTATAATTTTTGTTACTTATAAAAATATCATTTCCTTGCCTTTATCTATCTTTCAGAAGTTTCATTATAATATATATATTCTAGGGTGAGATCATAGAGGTAAACAATGGTGAAATTGATTCTTCACCAGCAGATAGCAAAAAAAAAACATGGAAAGAAGATGAAGAAGACTTGGCCTCCTTACCTGAAAAATTACAAAATGTTCTAGCTTCATTGTCTAAAGCTGCTCCTTCTAATTGATTAAGTGGTTAAATAACTTTATTTTATTTTTAAGAAAGAAAAGAACGGCTAACTTTTTTTTTTTATTTTATAAATGAGCTTACTTCATGTGAAATTCTTGAAATTACAGGGTTCGTCAACTTAACATATTTGCTATCATGTTGTTTCAGCAATAATTTAATTTTTTAATATTGTTTTCTGTTATACCTAAATTTTAAACTATATTTTTTATCAAAGTGGATGATCTGTAATATTATATTATCGGTCTCAATGTGATGCTGCAAAACTGACAAATTCCTTAAACCAAAAAAATTAAATTTTCATCTTATTGGAAATTAATCAATTAATCGAGAATCATTTAGTACTAACAATTACAAAAGATTAACGATTAATTATGGTTCATAAAATTTATGTAAAAATAATAATTAAGTTGCTCTAATTTAAAATGTTTTTTAGTTATGCTGTTTTTCATAGAAATCAACAATATGTAACTTTTATCATGTGAAAAAACAAAGAAAAAATAGTAATTAACCAAACTATTTTCTATTTTTATTATGTTAATGCATCCAGTTATCATAGAAAGTGCCTATTTAAATGTTGAAAGAAAAAAATATCCATTTATTGATAATATTTGAAAATAGTGATTATCTTCATTCAAAAATATAAAGTTTCAGTTGCTGAGGTTTTATTAATGAATTTGAAATTTTCTAGACGATTACATCTTTAAAATGACAGTTAAACCTGATTTTTCTTCTTCGATTTTTCTTTCTTTTCAATTTACATAAGTAAAATGAATGATGCGAATTTATATATGAATAAACATAAACTGGCTCTTGAGTATTTTTATCTTAAAATAAGACATATGTGAAGGAATGTCTTAACTGATTAGCAATTTAATTCAGAAATAAAGTGTAACTATTCATACTTAACTACCTATAGTGATAGTTTAATGTTTCAGCAAGAAATAGATTAAAAATTCTCTGAGACAAAAAAGAAACTGATAGCTGTGGCATTTAAATGTAAATCTTCAGAAGTTATAGGTACATACTGGCATAATTATTACAACACCTAGCTACATACTATAATACCTTGTAATATTATTAATGAACTAAAATTGTTATTAAATTAAAAGAAGGTAATAAATAAAGCAGTGATGGTGATTCTTTGGTTCCTTGTGTGCCCAGAATGGGAAAAATCTTGATCAAAGGCTTCTATCTAATCATCAAAGTTTGTGATATTAAATTAATAAATCCATAATCTTATCAAATTTTCATAGCTAGTGGAAAAAATCAATTGTTAATGTAATTATTTGAATATTTTTTTCACTTTTAAAGCTGGATTACATTTGCTAGAGCATTAATGGAATGTTCATGTTTTGTACTTCACCTGTTAGTTTGTGTTTTATTTATTGGTTTTAATATTATGTCAAAATATTAGATCTCCTTTTATATAGAGTGCATAAAAAGAACAATTTTATTAAAGATGTCATCAGATTTTACAGATTGTGAAAATATTCTTGTATTAAATTCTAACCAGTCCAAATTTTATAATTGTGGTCTTGTTCATTACTTTCTCTTACTATAAAAAATAACTCTCAATGAATCCATAAATCCTCCTGATCTTTCTCTTTACTCATCTCATAAATTAAGTTAGTGCTGTAAGAATTGTTCTTGGAAGACTAACTGTAAACAGTGTGTCTTATCAAATATGTCTTTGCTTCTAAAAGGTTCACCATCACTGTTAATACTAACAATCAGAATTTTAAAAATTCAGAATATGATTGTTTCAGTATTTGTAATTCACAATATGTCCTTTCAATTTCATTATGATGATTTAAATGATCTCTCATTCTTCTTTAAAGTGGGTCTCATTAAGGTGTTTATAAATATAAATGGATATATGTATGTATGTAAATTTATTATTAATTTTATCCATTTGATAATTTTTTTACTATAAGATGTAATTATATTTATGTATGTGTAAGTATATTTTATATGTACACATGCACACTTTGTACATAATTTCTGCAAATTTAAGAAATATAAATGATTCATTGGAGTCAGCTGTTTATATATATTAAAAAGAAAAAAATCTTTAAAAAAGTTTACTTTATTTAGTAGTTTAACAATGCTTTCTAGTAATTTGTTATTCAATTAAAGATTTTTTATTTGAGTCATTTTCATTACTTTATAATTTATCTTTATTGTTTTTCTTATATTAGTATGTATGAAAGAATATTCTGTTTTATTTTTGATGTTCTATATGTTTTATTTGTATTTTAGTGAATTTAGTTACTTTTTTTTTATTTTATTGTTATTATTTTATTGTGTTTCTTATACTCTTGCAGAAGTTCACTGTTCTTAATTCTGCAAAACGAATTTAATAAGAAATGAGTACTAAATTTTATTCCTAATTATTGAATACCATAGGGGTGTTTTTGTACATTTAATTATTGTTATGATTTATTAATTGTTTCTTTAGAGATTATTTTTATTGAGATTATTGAAACAGATTATTTTGTATCATTAATATAGTTCTCATTTTATTTGTATATTAAAATGTGAATAAACATATGTTAATTTTTTATGGAAGTTATGTTAAAAACCTTATATTTATTATGTCAAAACCGGAAATAAATGTGTTTTCTCATATATAATTATGTATTTAATTTTTAAATCATGATAAAGAAAATCCATATTAGGTATGCCTATTATTTTTTTTTCTGTTTGCATTATATATCTTGTGGATCTGGAACAAGCCTGCTCCATCTCTGTCTTATCTTGGTCTGTTTCTTTTCCAGTTATTTGCAAAAACCATCTCACTCCATTGTCATTGCTATTCTTGTGAAGACTTTGGTCTACGATAATGAGTATGAATAAGGATTCTCTTCTCGTCATAAGTCGTAGCATTGAAGTCACCTACGACTTATTTCATGTCATGTCTATGAGCTTGGTTCCACAATATTTTCCAACTGATCGTAGAAATAATTCCTTCACTTCTTCATCTTTATCTTCAGTTGGTTCATACATATTAATTATCATGATATTAAATCAATGACATTTAACTTGTAATACACTAATCCTTTTGTATATCGCGATGAATTTAATGATTGATTGCCTTGCCTTTGTCCTCAACCATAAAACCTACCTTTGGTAGTGAGGAAGCAAAATGGCTTAATATGAAAGAACTTGAGAATTGACTAAAGAACCAATGATTTGAGTGTTAATTATATTTTCACTTATCTGTGAATAAGACTGAGCTCCACTGTCTCATATCCCAAAGTTGGTGTTCTCTTGCGAATAAATTTCTCTTTTGTGATACCTAGTTAAAGTGTAGGCACTTTTAAAATCAACTGCACCCCCGTAGTCTATTTCTCAGCATTTTTTTCCAAAATATGTACCCCAGTAGCAGGTATTTGTTCAGTGAAAAGGTAATGAGCAGTTGAAATCGGTTACGCAAAGGTTGAAGCCTAAAAAATTTGTCTTCTCTTGCGTTTGTTAGCCTTCCAGAACCTTATCCAGGATGTCTAGTGAGGCATTACTAAATAGCATTGCCACAATCTTCAGTTCAGTGCGGCCAGGCAATGTCTCCCCTCCAAAGAAAAATTAAATTTAAATCTCAAGCTATTTTATATTATGTAATATTTGAATTTTATTTCATTTGATATTTCCCTAATCTAGTTGATTTATTAATAGGCTAAAATTAATTATTTTAATATGTTTTATACATATATGTTTTTTTTAAATTCTTTACAAGTCGCGAGTGCCCTCAACAGACACTCCTGTAGGTTGGCACCCCAGTGGAATTGCTTTGGTTGCCTGGGTCTGAGTCCGGCATTGCTTCAGATTATAGCCAATGAAATTCCTAGACAGATACTAATGTGACACTGTGAATATCCTTCCTGCAGCAGAGTGACAGCTCTAGACTCTAGAATTTGCACTTCAACTTCATTAAGATGTCTTTGTTAAACTCTAATTGCATTCTTTATTAATGGAAAAATAATCACTATTTGAATGAACTAAGTGAATTGAGTGTTTTTCGGGTTTATTATTGTTTGCCATAAAAATGAACATTACTAAGAATATCCCTGTGTAAATAAATAAACAGTTTAAATAATAATTGGTAATTGGTTGACTGTCGTGGATAATGAAGAGAAGAATAGTTGGGGTGCTCAGTCAAAAAAGGAAGGCAAAAATAAATATTATAATTTATTTATAATATTATAATGTATATAATATTTTTATATTATATAAAAAAAAATTTATTTATAATTTTATAATATTATAAAATTTTATAATATTATAATTTTATAATATTATATATAAAATTTATTTATAATATTATAATGTATATAATATTTTTATATTATATAAACAATTTTTTATATTATATAAAAAAATAAATATTATAATTTATTTTTGCCTTCCTTTTTTGACTGAGCACCCCAACTATTCTTCTCTTCATCAAACAGTTTAAATCATTAGCCAACTATCTTTGTTCACTATGTGTACCAACATCAACATTGAAATAAGTTTAATAATCTGAATGTATTTTTAAGTAATTAGTTTTATATTTTTGTCTTATTTCGAAAAATTATTAAATGACATTTTAGAAAATTAAAGTACTGAATAATCTGATGAATTTTCTCTCGATATTCACCTGATTTCTGTAGTCCTGGCTTTTTTTTTTTAATTCGTGTATTTTTTTTAACCTTGGTGTAGTAGCCATATATGAGGAATGAGAAGGATTTCCCATAAAATTTATAAATGCTAGAGACCATCAAATAATAAGTGAACTGAAATGAATACTAGAAAGATGGAGGGAATACTTTAGAGAGTTATTGGATGGGAATGATAGGAGCAAATAAATGGAAGATTGCCACGAGATAAATGAGGATAGTGTGGAATTACAATAAGGGAAGGATGACTCAATAGAAAAAGAGGTAATATGGGACGCATTGGATATGAAAATGGGGAAGGCAGAATGGAATAACATCTGAGATGCTTAGATACATGGGGAGGCATGAGATGAACCATTCTTCAGGGTATTAGAATAGGTCTAGAAACCGCGGCCTCAAAAGGCCTATTTTGCATCATCCTAAACTCAGTTAAAACAGGCCAGATGCCATTGCAAACCTATTGATACTTATAGGATCAATCATTTCGCAGTGCTTAGGGTCAGTGATACATTCACATCCATAGTGAAAATATCCCAGTCTAGCGAAATTAACACATCTACAAAGAATGTGATAAGCTGTTTTATCCTCCAGGCCACTTAGCTTGTAGGTGGAGGTCTCACTTACAACCAAACTGTAAAGGTGCTTATTTAATTGACAGTGACCAGTATACAGTCCTGTCACCTGCCTAATAGTATTCCTGTCCATTAGAAGAAGTGAATTACTTCTCTTATGGCAGAGTCCTACTAGGAATAACTTATAATGGGTTTGTTTTCTAGTCTGTACCCAGTGTAGCATAAATTTATTGCCCTTAATATAGCTTTTGGCAAAGCCAAGGCTTATCCCACAAATAGACTGCTGCAACCTGCATCTGTGCAGAGCCTTTCCTAGCAAGGTAATCAGCTTCCTCATTTCTTGGAATGCCTGAGTGCCCAAGTACCCATTTTACTCTCACCTTATTAGTACTACCAAGAAGGTTAAGATTGCTTTTGCATTCATCCACCAGCTTTCAGCGACTTGTATATCTATTCAGGGCCCCAATTGCCACTTTACTATCTTTATATATTGTTATCAATCTATTCATAATGCCTTCCTTGATAAGTGATTGGGCGCAGAAATCGATGGCTAAAATCTCGGCTTGAAAGACGGACGTATATCTACCTAGAGATATGATTCTCCAGATACCAGCCCCTGATCCCTGCTCCATTAAGGAGCCGTCGGTATAACAGTTAACTCTATTACATGGTCTATGTGAATTAATCCTGCTTATGTTCAAATTATATAGTATATGTATATAATTATCAACTTGAAGGTCAGAGTTCATCGCAAGCACCTCATTGCTATAAAAGAACCTCCATTGCAGTAGTGGGAGTAGTGCTCATAGCTCCCGTCTTCATAAGTCATGCGAGCCTTTGAAGCTTGCCAAGCAGCATTCTAGATCTGCCCTATGCCACCATACCACAGTTGCATAGAGGAATATGGGTCTAACGCAGTTCTGTATAGCCCTAAGGCCATGCTAGGTTTCAGCCCTCAAGATTTGCCAACAACTCTTCTGCACGCCCATAAACAGCATATAGCCTTAATGCTAATCTTTTCAATATGATTTTGGCAGTGATGTTGACCCAAGATGTTTTACTTCACTACATATATTTAGTATTGTCCCATTTAATGCTGGTGGTCTGATGTTAATATTTCTTCTATTAGTGAAGATACAGAGATACGTTCTATTCGTGAAGATACATCTTCTGCGGGTTTATGACAAGACCATTTTCCTGGCACCATTGCTTCAGAAGTCTCATAGTGTTTTCGAACAGTTCAGAGATAGTACCTGGAAACTTTTCCCCTATCAATACCACAATATCGTTAGCATATCCCTGAGAATAAAACCCCGCCATATTCAATTTAACAATCAGGGAGTCGACGACCAAACACCACAAACGTGGAGACAGCGCACTCCCCTGTGTACACCTTCCAACAGGTTTAAACCATAGTACAAATATTCCCAACTCAGATTTAAGGACGCAACCCCTCAGAACCGAATTAATCCATTCCAAAGCCACATGTCCAACTCCTCTACTTTCCAATGCTCTAGCCATTGCATTGTATATGGAGAATGATCAAAGGCACCTTCAATATCAACGAAGATACCCGCCATAATCTCTTTCTGCGATTAACTTTTCTCGATTCTAGAGATAAGATAATGCAATGCTGTCTCACTAATGAGAAATGAGGTATCTAAGAAAACTATTGGTGAAGACCGGATATATAACACAATAATATGGACTGGACTCAAATGCGAATCCCTCAATTACATAATTGAGAAAGGACAGCTTCGGTGGTTCGGTCATGTAATGAGAATGGATGATTGTCATTCTGCAAAGAAAATTATGGAGGATAAACCAATGGGGAAACGACTTAGAGGAAGATGAAGAATTACTTGGGAGGATAACTGTGGCACATAAGGCAGTTTTTTTGTTAGGTTTTTTTTATTATTGCAGATTATTTTCATTATCGTATGGCAATATTGTTGTGGCTTTGAAAAAGCCGTTTTTGAGAAAATTGTAAAAATGTGTTTCACCGTGGAAATAAAGTGGCACTTCCGGTTAGCCGATTTTAAGGAAAATTTGCTGTAACATCTAAGGCATATACCTGTCTTACATACGTAATACACATCGAGTTTTCGATTTTTAGCTAGAGTGTTCATATACGCACAGACCATTTTTCGGGACTTGGTTATTTGGACTCATGGGACCTCAATACATGTATTTCCGTTGAAAACTGAGATTCAAAAATGTTTACGATAGCAATACTTACCCTTACTACATATTACAAATATAGGTAAGTAAAGTTAAAAATAATAATAGATAAGCCACATAACACAGTGAAGTATTTTATAGTAGAAAATGAGTAAGTCTTTGGCTTTGATCTATAGGTATACGTACACGTATGCCAGAGGGTAAGAGAAAACCTGGAAATCATGT